TTCGCTTTTGGTAATGTAAAACCCGGTTCGGGGAAAACCCCGGGGTTTCCCCCCCGGGTTTTTTGGGGTTGGGGGTTAAAGGTCAAAAGGATTCGGCCTCCCCGGTTTTGGGTCCCCCCCCCCCCCCCCCCCCCCCCCTCCCTATTTCCTATTCCATAGATTAAAAATAAAATCCTCACGAATGCGGTCCCACATCCATCCCGCCGTCTCCTGATCATGTCCTTGCCCCCTCCCCCGGAAACTCGATTGCACGTATGATAACCATGTGTGCAATTTGTTACCAGCAGGCCTCGCTCGCGACTGCCGGAGGGCGGCGTGGGTCAGGGATGACGGATGCGGCGTCTAGCGACAGCCGACCGATGTTCAACAAGAAGATGCGGAAGCCGTCGATGAGGTATGCAGCAGTTAGCACCCGCGTTTATGAAACGTCAATTTTGGGGGTCGAGGCTCAGGTTCTTTGTTCGTAGCCACCGTCGTGCGTAGGTCATTCTATTGAGTTTAGTGTGGGATCCACGGCTGAGGTGTGTCTCTTAGTCGATTTTCTTGTTTATGGCCAAAATCTGAGCCATTGTTACTTTAAGGCTTGTTTCCTTATCGCGGGCTTGTTTATCGCCAAAGTCTGGGCCTCTGTTTCTTGCAGGTGTCTTTCTTAGTCGATTTTTCTTGTTTTATCACCACAGTCTGAGGCTTTGTTTCAAGGCTTGTTTCTTAATCGCGGGTGCTAACTGCTGTACATGCTTTGGTTCGCCCTCTTTTCGCGTATCATTGCGAAGCCGCCGGCCTGTGCGTTCGTCCCGACCCTTGCGATGCTCTCGCCTTTGCGGAAGTAGAGGCTAACACATAGTGTAGTAAAACACCGAACCTAGTAGAGGGGGGTGGATTGTCGCTATTATAGATAACCAACCAGCGTGCAGAAAAGAAAACAGGCAGATACAGTATAGTGTTGCATAATATCCGAAATACTTGTCCGCGCGGCAACTCGTGGGTTGGGTTTCGCTTCCATCCGTTTTCGAATTCATTGATGCGTTGCTCTTTGTATTTTGTTATGGAGTCTTCAGTTACGGTTTGGTGTGGTTTTCGTCCCCCAACACCCGTCCGCCAGCTCGCCTGGGAAAACGCGTTACCAAACTGATGTTTTTGTGTTTTTGTCGCAGGTTTGGTCGCGCGGGCGCTTCCGTCCTCCAAGATGGGTCAGCCAGCCTTATTGCGGGGGTAGACGAGGAGGACGAGGAGGAGGCTGAGGGAGGGGCGCGCGGTGGCGGGGTAGATGGCAAGTCTTCGTCTCAAACGAGAAGACCTTCCCAGTCGGGTGAGCGGAAACCCCGTTGGCGTTATTGTTGACCCATCGTAGGGCAGTATCGAGCCACCGTCGTCTCGAGCCAGGCAGAGGCGCAAATACGTCGCCAGAGGGAGCAACGCGAAAAGCAAGAATGTACAATACCATGCCACGAAAGCGGGATCGTACATAAACACGTTGTGCCGCACATGTATGCTACAACCCCTGTTTCGACTTTGCATGCTTTTCTTTCCTACAAAACAGGAAAGGTGTTAAAAAAAGAAACCGCAGTGCTTACTGCGGTGCGTGTCTTTTAAATAGGAGGTGCCGCCTGTCGTCATCTTCCTCTTGCGATGGGAAGGTTCTTGTCACTGCGTGCCCAACGACGCCAGAAAATCATCGAAGTATCATTCTTCGTGCGTAGCAACTCCGTTGTCAAAGCGCGGGTGGTGTATTGCGATTGTACAGGCAGATTTTTTCAACGCACGGCGGGGTGTGCGTGTCCTATGTTATGCGGTAGCGTCAACAGCAGATGTCGAGACGCCTTCAACCAGCTTTCGAACAGACTCGCGCTGCTCTACTGCTGTACTGGTATGTCGTTGTTATGAGTTCGTGTTTCTGGTTTGTTTGGGTTTGCTGGACTCTTGGAGCAAGAAGACACCAGCAGCTGTGTCATAACTGGCAGCTCTGGCAGCCACCCTGCGGGCTGTCCTTCTTCCTGTCTTGCGGCATCACCCGTTCATGACACTGCTGTGCAGTCATGAGCCCACTCCGGAGCGATCACTTGTACCTATAGTAAGAATCATCATGATATGGTATTATTTAATCACCGTGCTGAAATTCGCAGGCAATCGCAGGAGGCCCTCCGGCGAAAGCCGAAGGGGCTCGGCGGAATCCACTTCGGACCAACGGCAGCGGCAAGGCGGGGCACAGCGGCGTCGGTCAAGCCGGCCTTCCACCCAGGTGGAAACCCGACGGGCTAGCGGCGACTCCGGCGGCCTTTCCAAGAGACGCGGAGCACCCCCGATGGGACCGGTCCCGTCCATGACCGACGCCGCCCTCAAGGACCTGATCGAAACCTCGCTCAACGAGGTAAGCTATGCTGTGCCCTAGTCTGCTGTGTGGGTTTTGTTCTCTGGCGTTTGTTATGTCTTGCTTGTTGGTGGAGCAGCATTTTGTGGTCGCTGAATTGAGAGTTGCTGACACAGCAGCAGTTGTGTTCGCTGAATAAGGCCGCATTGTGCCAAAGGATGTGTCCGGTCGCTGAATACGGCCCCCCCAAGTTGCCCAGAGATGTGGCGGGCCTCGTATACCGGTCACCCGGCCTTATGTTCAGAGTATGAAAGGAGTTGGAGTTCCATCTGTATCACCGGGCTTGCGCTGGGGGGGTCAGCCATATTTGTGTGGTGGCCACCACTGTTGTGGTTCAGGTCCTCTCGTTGGTACGAACGTTGTTGTGGTTACTGTTGTGATTCATTGTATGCCGTTGTTGTTGTTGTTGTTGTTGTTGTTGCGGTTGTCATTGCTGTTAGTGTACCAGTCGTCGTATGTGCACTAAGAACCGGGCCCCGGTGGCTGCTCAGTAGCTTCTAAGATACCAGGTTCTGTACCGGTAACTCTCGCGCGGACGCAGCCTTCCGTGTACCCCAAAACAGATTGGTACAGCAGTACACGCTATGACCAATCAAAGAGAAAACACAACGTGCTGTTTTCGTTCGTCACGGGGGTCATCTCAATGGTCGACGCCGTGTGAATGGCCGCATGCAAAGCTAGCTCTCACACCAATCAAGTGCGCTTTCAACAGCTCTTGTGTCGCTTTTCATTGTTTTTTCTGGGTTTTCAAGGTTTGTTGCTGCTGTTTTGGTTCGTTTTGGTTCGGCAGTTGCGGTTTGCAGGTAAATACACAGGAGTTTTGTTGTGTTTTATTTCTCTACCCCTGACTTTGGATGTTTTGGTCACACGGCATGCACACTCTGCAACCGCTGCGCATGCGCGGGCCTCTATTGCCTCCGATCGTCTTCGATACGTTCGCTGGCGTTGGCGTGGTGCTGATAAGATTCCCCCCACCCACCCCCCATCTCAATGCCCGAGCCACCTTTGGCAAAGTATTTTGGCCATCGGTGATCGGTCCTGTGGGAACAATGCTCTGTCCTCTCGAGGACGCATGTTCAATGGTCTAACAATTCAGGCAGCAAAACGTGAGTACACCCCCCAAATTCGCACTCACGGCGCCCCTTTTATGTGTCTTATTTTACCGTCTCAGGAGAAGACCGCGAGAGCACCGCTCCTCAGGACATCCACCTCGCCCAACCCCACACCTCTCAAGTAAGTGCACCGCCCATGTCTCCGTCCCCTTCCGGCCTGTGTACCAGTACTGTAGTGCTTCGTTCTGTTTTGAGACAAGATGGGTGGGGGGGGGGGGGGGGGGGACCCCAAAGGGGGGGGGGGCCCAAAATTTTGGGAAGGGGAAAGGGTTTGGGGAAGGCCCTCCCCAAAGGGGCGGAAACAAACCAAAGAGGGAGAAGGGGGGGGGTTCGAGAAGCCCAAAAACCAAAAAAAAGCGGGGGGGAACCCAATCCTTTTTCCACCCCAAAGGTTCCCTCCCAACCCTTGTTAAAAGGGGGCCACAAAACCAAAAGGAAAATACTTCCTGCGCTTTTTTTTTTTTTGCAGGGGGGGCCAAAGGGAAATGGGGTGTATCCCCCCCCC